TAACTCTTAGATAAAGCAAAAAGCGCTAGCACAACAACTATACAGCAACAAACAGAACCAATGAAACTTGCTATCACTAATAACGGAGAAGAGCTACGAGATGGCACAGAAGTCAGAGTTAATTTGAAAAAGTAACTATCTGAAGTATCAGCAAGATTGCAATGGCTGATAACAAAACACAACTTTAAGAATAACAGAGATGGAATGGAGTCAACAAGGAAGAAGAATGGACAATTATTTCAGACTGAAATGAGAAAGCACAACTCTCGGGCTGCAGTAACTAATCGAGACAATATTCGTTAAGGTGCCCTGACGAGATGAAAGATCGCGCCCTTCTCGAGATTCGGCCGCCGTAGTGCCAGTGTTACCGAACATCCTTATGAAGGCCGCTGGGAAGTTGTCCTGAAGAGAGCTGCTGCGTTGCTTTTTTGCACCGATGTCTCATTCTGGTACCGTTGAAAATGTAGATGATGTCGACAGCGGTGATGGTTTTCGGGTGCTTCCGATAAGTGAAAGAAAAGAATTTTTTGAAACTGCTTTAGCATAAGCCTGTTCGGTCTGTTTTGCATTTCTTTTTCGTGTTTTTCGTTTTTATGAGGGAAGCTGGGTCGAAGTGGTAATTCGAAAAGTGATGTTTACCCATGAATAGAGCTTGAGCTGATCTCAGAAATACCTTTTATGTCTGTGAAGCGTTTTCTTATGAAGTTATGGACTTTGATTTATAATGGAATTTTGGTTCAGAAGGCAAATAATGTTCTGCGGATTTACAACATGGTTGGACAACACTCGAAAACATTCAGATATATCAGATAGTACAACGCTTTTTTTTTGCTTGAACCTATATATTTTTATGTGAACATTGCCGTGATTTCACGGCTCAACATGAAGAATGTTTGGCATAAGAAAAGCTCATAACTTTTTTTTTTCAAAAGAACGCTTTGCATGTATTTAACATCGGCATCCAAAGCTTTATTTATGGTTATACATCATCTTTCGAGTAGCTACTTCGATCAGGCGAACTTCCCTTGTTAGTCAGTAAATGTTTATCAGGCCCAGATGTGAAATTGGTCGCTTTGTCAGCACAAAAGTGGAGATAGGGGAATCAGCTCTCATTAGAGTCTGCATAGCATATCTGTAAACTAAATTGCGTTATTGCTTCCGGCATCATGTGAATCACTGCGAATGTTTTTTGCCCCATCGAATAGTATCCTGAAAATGAATAAAATTGCTCTGCAAGACGGAGAGGAACTGTCAAACAACCTAACACATTTTCAATAAAATATGTCGAAGATGGGCATTCCATGAATTCATACTCAAAGTCGAGGGAGCTCCTCATTTGAGATGCTTGATGCATGATGTTTTTGTAGAATAGTTCTATCTCTAAGCTTCATTTTCTTGTATACGATAGGATGTAGTCGGAAAGCTTATTGGTTCAATTATTGGTAACTTTCGATTTTAGAATTTTCATCGGACCTTCTGGGTATAACATGAAGACTGGATCAACGAGGTTCAGGGTCGAGTAAGAAGTGTGGCACACAACCGCCGGACACAACCCCCCCCCCCTTCTCAATACCTTCCTTACCCTCATCCCCCCCCCCCCCCACACCAGCTTATCTTTTGCCTTCCATAGGCATAAAAGAAAGGCTCTTCCACGTAGTTAGTAACATATTCGTAATTATCACAGTAAAAAGCCTCCGTGGGCCAAGATTTAGCAAATTCTGCATTTCCAGCATTAGGCCACCTAGAAGTGGTCATTTTTGAACAAGAAACTTTATTTCAAATGTGAATTAGCCAACTCATTTTTACTCAATACAAAACACTATACCCTACTTACCCGTATCATGAATTCTGCTCAAAATAACCATCAAAACGTGGAACTAGAAAAGCCAAAATTTCGTTTGCCCCATTTTTCGCTTTCAATAGCTGTGCATTCACCAATTTTTACTCAGAGCAGAGAAGACGAATTAGACCCAAATTCTTCATGTAAAAACTATGAGATTCAGGCTATCGAATTATATAATTTTGTTCGCTAAAATTCTCTTAGGAGCTAAGTCAGTGGGGTAAGGCACACCCCACAAAAGCTGTTGTTGCTGCTCCATTAACTTTTTTTTAAAAAGATCATGACTTATAATAAAGCGGTAAACGTCTGTCTTTTTGTGCGTGTGCGTGTGTGTTTGTCTGTCTGTCACAAAATTCATAGAGGCAGCTGCAGCCAAGCTATCGAGCTGCAATTTTGCATAGCATACCGTACCAGCGTGTAGGCCCACCATGCACAAGGACGAGCTGGTACGATAAGCGGGTCCTTTGAAAATTGCGCATCAAACGGGTCCACCTGGCTTTTGGCGTGCAAAACTAGGTCACAAATTCAACTTTTGGCAAAGTCCTGATTTGCCTGACAAGCAAATCTGCGCTCCAAGAATTCTAGCTCAAAAAGTGCTCAAAAAGTTTGCTTTTCCGCGAAAACAGCGCCAAAAAAGTAGTGATCGCGTAGAGAGTCGATTTGACAAGGTTTTACATAAATATCTGAAAAGATTTTTGCATGGAAATGTAGCCCAAAATGACTGTTATCTTTATAACAATTATCAAGCCAAAATGAATTCAATAATCTGTTCGAATTCGTATTTATTTCTTGGCAAAAAAGTTTCCTTTCTTAAAATTACCGATCTTACATGCTTCAAGAATGAACAGCTGTTTACAATTCCTTCATGATGTACAGCCTCGCGGGGTGAGTTTCAAAGACATCATTTTAGGAGCTTGAAAAAGGCATACGGATAACAGAGCCAGCGCGAACCTCCGCGAAGCGGAGGTGACGCACTGGTTCAAATATCTGTCTTTTCTGTGTTGCTAGACCTTTTCCTATGCATAGCAGAAATTTCGTTCAAAATTGTTTCTCCTAAGGAAAGATATAACGTTTTTCCTTACCTATGTAATTGAAAATACTGCGGAAATATTGGGTTACGGTGATATGCTAAGTCTGCGCTACTACGTGAATCGAGAAGGAAGGCGGCAAGGACAAGTATATTGGTAGCCTGATCCTCGTAGCTTTCACAAAAGTGATTTGAGCCCGATCGGTCTTCTCTAGTCTGAGATATTACAAGCAAAAAATGAGACAAGCGAGATGTTGGCTTGCTTTTCACTCCATACTTCGAAGGTTATTTGAAGCCGGATCTTAGAGTAAGCAATTAGTGATATCAGCGATATCTTGTATCAGGTGTAAAAAGAAATAGTTAACTCACCTTTGAAACAAAGTTAGCTTGTTCGAAAATGACACCTCACTTGGGTTGGCCTGCTATTTAACCTCGAAGGTCGCTGGAACTTGGGAACTTGACTATTTAACATGCTAATTATGAAAATGATTCTCTTGTGCTTTTAGAGTCCTTTCCTGATGTTTACTGTCCGTATACGAGGTAGGCCGAAACATCGATGCTAGTAATTTGCATAGTGGGCCTATCTGACATTGTCAACGAGTACTATGTTATTGCTAACATTACTGTCGCCTCGATGACCCCCACCCCTCCTTGACCTCATACGACCATCCAGGTGGGGCGTAGCACGTCCTCCGAGTGACCGTGTCGAAGTTTCTGACTACATCGTGGTGATTACACAAGATTATCAATATGAAAAATGTTAAGTTCTATGAGGGTTACCAACTATGGGCGATCAAAAAATTTACTAAATCGTTTTCATCTTCTGCGTCTCAATACAGGGTGTCCCAAAAGTAAGTACACACTTTTCAATCGCCAATATCTCTCTTCCCAATGGCTCTTTTTTCGCCATTCAAGTATCATTCTGTAGAGGAGGCTTCAACTTAGATTTCCTATATTGAGTGAATCACCGACCGCCCCTCATTACTGTAGGATTACTGTAGGAACTTCGACAAGGATTTTAGGCCATTGGAAGCCATATTCTGACTTGGAACAAAACCAAACAAGCCAAAAACCCTTGTGCTATGGTTGTAACAGCCGCTGATTTCGAATATGAGTTTTCCACTTTACTTTAATGTTTCTTTCCAAAGTTCTCCCAGGTAAACCGTAATGAACGACTTCCCAGTATTTGTCAGAAATGTGATTGCACCGTCAAAAAAGCTGAAAACACTCGTAAAAAGTTATGTTTTGGAATCACCGTGCGCGAAAACCGTAGTACACAATTTTTTAGATTTTTTGTAAAAAAAATTTTCAGATTGCATATTTCTCATTGATTCCAGCTGGAAGTTCTTATTGTAATCCCACAGTAACGAAAGGCGATCGGTGATACGACAGATATTGTAAATTTAAGTTGAAGCCTCCTCTACAGAATGGTACTTGAATGGCGAAAAAAGACCCATTGGGAAGAGAGATATTGGCGATTGAAAAGTGTGTACTTACTTTTGGAACACCCTGTATATGTTGATGTAGAAATGGAGAGTCGGAGCTGAAAGGGCGAGTGTGATTCATCTCTTTTCTACAGGGCTTTTCAACATAAGAGTCACAGCCTCCGCTTGCGCGGCTTCTCCAACGCGGCCGCCTCGCTCAGGCCGCGCGCGGCGTTTGCGGCGTATCGCCCGGGCTTTTGCCAAGCTTCAGTCGACGCGCAGCGCCAGCGCCACGAACGCTGCGCGGACCTAAGCGTGGCGGCAGAGCGGGCGGCTGTGACACTCAGGTTGTAAAGCCCTGTATATCACATCTGCAAAAACTTATCATAAAAAGACCAGGAGACTACTAGAAGTAAAGACATTCAGACGAACATAGAACGATTGAATAGCGACATCGTTATAGTCCTGGCCATACCTCGCGTTTAGTGCCAAGCAATTCGGTAGTATAATTGTTTGTAGTTCGCAGCGTGTCATACAGAAATTAGACAATTCTTCTAGAAGAGTAACACACTGTACATTTGTATTTGAGAAGTCGGATTTTGAGCTTGGCATTCCAAATTCCATGGCAACTGAAATCGCGCGAGGTTTGCTTTCTTGGGGCTTGTGGAATGATGTTCGGAAAGAGATGCGGCTTAATTTCAAATTTCAGTACACTGCTGAATCTCCAGTCAGGCAAAGTCCATCTTTCATGGAAAGACTACGCACAGCCATTACTATTGGTAACGAAAGATCTTTTGATAATGGTAATTCTTGGCTTTGTATACAGGGTACGGCACGAACTCCATTCTTAGCGATTGAATGTGGGTAATCTGCAGCATATGTGCCAGCGGCTCACTACCGTTCTTCATCATCTCTTCAATTAACACATTGACGACTATACAGATATTTAGTTGTCTGCCTTCTGGGGCTAAGGCCTTTTACGGGCCAGCCACATTTTTCAACTTTATTTACGCTTGCCATCTACAGTACACCTGAAATAGATCTGAAAGGTTGATAAAAGAAGTAGAATTCATCCCTAAACTCTGTGCAAAAGAAAGCTCGTGGAGTGAGTTTATCCCAGGATAGTAGCCATTTTAACAAAATTCAAACCTTGACAGACATGGTGTGTCAGGCGGTCCCACGCGGTAATGACCATGTGTGTCAAGCGGTCGTCAATGTGTTAAAAGCTTTACCAACCTGGAAATCGGCAATAAATCCAAACTAATCTTCATCCTGTGATTGAGCAGCAACAGGTAGCAGCATGAAGTGACTACGTAAAACAGCGTTAGAGAGAATAAACAGCTATAATCTAAGCAAGGGGCTCTCTTGTACTCCGCTGTATAATAGATAAACATTGATTTTATCAAAGCGAATGCAAAATAGTGCAAGGACAAAAATAACTCTTTTTTTTACATTTTCAACATGAACTTTTTGCCCTCAGCAAAAAATTATGTTGAGAAATTTCAAAAGTTATGTGAAACTGCGGCGATATGCTCTAATCAGACGGACTTTGTGCTCAGTAACTCGGGCTGAAACGCAGTCAATGTTGTCAAATTTTAAAAAGACTTAGCATATCTTGTGAACAATATACACACGCACCTGCTACTAGCTCTTCATTCTTGCGGATCTCTTTTATCATAAGGATAAAAAGACAAAAGCTGCCGAACGTTTTATGACATCGGCGTTGATTTATTTGTACTTACTTGACATCACTTGATGCGAGAGTTCCAGCTCCGTGCCGGGTGCCGGCACACTGCGATCGGTAAGGCAGCCTCAAAAATCTGTGAAGTTGACCAGCAAACAATATACAGCATCCATCCCACATCCATGTTTTGCAGATTACTAAGCGGTCTATAAGCATGTCCTAGAGGGTGAAGCACTGCGTTTTTTCAGTATTTTGACACTGTCTATCAAATGAGAGAACAAACTTGCAATTTCAACTTAGCTCTACCAACCATCCAAGGATTTTCCTTAATACCAACGACCTGGCAAACACAGCCCAAATGATTCTTGCAACCATATTAATGGTGCCTAGGACGATATGTTTTGTTGCCTAAGGCGAGACTAACCTTATACCACTCATTCACGCTTGTCAAGATATGGTCAATAAGGGTTCTTAAGATTGTGTGGTTTGTTCAGCTGTTGATTATGAAAGAGGGTAGAATCAGCTTTGAACATTGCCCAAACACACTCTAAAAAGAGGTACATGTAGGCTACTTTTCGTTATTTATTCATTCGGACCTGGATCTTTCCCCATAAGAAGAGAGTCTCACCTTTTTCGTCTTATATATAAAGCTGAATGTGTGTTTATGGTCTGCACATATGTCCATACGTATGTGCGAAATCGAAATTTTTATTTCTGAACCGATTTGGACCAAATTTGGCACACATAAACTTCGAGGCCGGGAGCGTGTCATAGGCTACTTTTCGTCATCGATCGATATCGATTTTATCGTTTTTATCGATTTTTTGCAGAGTTCACCTACGGGGCTGGGATTTCACGCAGGGGAGGGGGGATTTGTTGATTAACATTTTGAACAGGGCGCCAGAAGTGGAGGTTGTTTGAACATCTGACGTCATAAATAGTGAAGGTTGTTTAAAGAAGATCAGAGAAGAGAAAATGACGTAAAACAGATATAAAAAGCAAAATAAACTGCTGAGAACCGGACAAAAACGCTGCAATAAGGTTCGAAATTTTTCATTTGGCGGCTTTTCAGAGTGCAAGTTTTCGCTCCAGTATTAGCAATTTGCAACACGGGGTTTTGATTTTTAAGCGTCCTTTAAATTTTTACCCCCGCTGACGTTCCTGTTTCCTGGGACGTTGTCTAGATTGTTGCGCTTATTGTTCTGAGCAAAAATTGCCCAAGCTGTAGAAAAACTCCATGCGAAAGCACTGAAACAGAACAAGGTACTAATTCCACCATAATCGAAGAGGTAAGGGCTGGGTGGTTGTCTGTATTATGAACAGAAGCAAGATCTATAGAATGCACGAAAAAACCGTGTGAAAAGAGTTGAACTAGGAGAAAAACAAGAGATTTTCGAAAAGAAGGTTTTTGCCGGATTTCTCGATGAAGTCAAAAATTATGGTTCTGGGGCGTTGTCAGCGTGAGAATAGAGATCAAAAACTTCAAAATGATATATAGTTTGCTAAAATTGGGTTCGGAACAGCAAAGAAAAGGGTACCAGAGCCAAATGCTCCGCGTCCCGCGTTTGGGGTAGCGAGTAGCGCGCAACGTGCGGAGACGGAGACGAGCAACGGAGACAGACCAGAGCCGACGGGCATTTGGCTCTGGTAGTAGATCTCCGCGGGTTCTCAACGAAACCCTGCAACATTACATATCATTCTGATCGTCATGACACAACGAGGAGAAATGACAACGTCCCAAGCTTTGATAATCACTCATTAACGAGATAGACCAGCATTGCGCGACTCTCTGCGCGAGAATTAAGCGCATTCTAGTTTTTATTCAACTCCAATAGCTTTCCTAAACTTCTGAAACTCTATTTTGGTCAAATGAGAGGTTTACTGAGAAATTCCGTCCTGAATTCTAGCGAAAATTCCACAGAAACCTTCTTTTTAATTTAAAAAAGGCTATGAAAATGCAAATTCTCGGTTTTGCTGAAAGCTAAAGATATCATTCCCTATATTTGCTTCATTAACATACGTTCCGATATAGTCAGGATAATAACATCCAGGGCGAGCCGCAGATGATTTCCGTTTTTTTCCAAGTGAAGGTTGTGTCCGCTCATAGCCCTCAAAGTGAAGGTTACCAGAGTACCTAGCTCTATGTATCGAAGGTATGCTTTACCTCACAGGTAAGTCGATTGAAAACCGCTTCTAGTACTAGTGCTAGAGCTGTTTTTGAATCAATATAGTCTATGGGATAAAGATCAAACCATCAAAACAACGAGAAAAAGCTGAAGAAAGCGAAAACTAGTGGAATATCGACCGAAATCTGGCAAAATGCTCACGTTGAAATACCTTGTAGGTCTAAAACTCCTTTCAATAGTTCTGCACATAAGAAATCAAAGCGACTTGCTTTGAGAGCAAAACATACAAAATACTACATACAATACGCACTTCTTTCAGCCTCTACGTATCCAAAACTTTTGAAAGTCACACATGCTCAAAAATTGCGCTCAAATTCTCCCACTTGAACAGCTAGCCATTCAGACTGTAAGGCAAAGCATGGATTTGAGTTTCTTGGGCAAAACTAAGTTGGATGAATGGAAGAAGGCTCTCTAATGAAGACATTGAGGGTGCCGCGGGCGAAAAAAAATTTTCTTGTGAAGGTGCATGGCGTTAGTCACGCACCCAGAAAAATTTTTGGCATGCTTCTCAGAATGCGGGCCCATAACCCCGATAAAGTTTATTTTGTAAGACTAAATCAAATTTTCAAAGAGTTCAAAGTTACTTCGATTATTTACAAGTAGAAACAAGTCCCTTGCACATTTTTATAATTCAAAATAGCTTTCAAAAATTTCGCGACTCATTCTCGGGAGAGGGGGGTCCCTTAGTACGCCACTGATGCACGTCATATACATGTGCAAGCAGAGACTACTGTAGTTACGTGAGACCTTTTGAAAAGTCCTAGACGTTTCAGCAAGAGCAAACATTGCATCGAAAAGCCCCGAAAGTTTCTAAATGAATTAGGGCTGCTTATATAAGGCATAAGCTATCATTGTGACTTATTCTTACTTCACAAGTTGTGATAGGTATATGTAAGAATAAAATCTACGATAGAGTCTCCAAAAAACCTTAAACAGTTGTTAGTTGAAACCAGCGGGTCGAAAATTCATTACAAGAAAGGTTTAGCTGATTTGCGTATGCTGTTATTGACCATTTTCTCACGTAATGAAAAGTGTTAGATGATTTGTTTGCTATTCTTAGTCTAAGAATGACTCAAATTCCATCCTGCGATGTAGTGCCCAACGAACATCGAACGCTTTTTGGACAAGGGAGTGTTAAGAATCAACCAGTTGCCACATGTTTTGGGACATCTCTTCTATAAAGCTTGGCCCTGCTTTTTTTGCCTCAAAAACGAAGTTCAGCCCGACACCAATCGTGCCAAGCCCTGTATGCACCAGCTGCTAACGTTTGTAGCGCTAATGCTTAGTTCAGGTATGAAGCCAGTGAAAGTGCGTCTGATTAATGGTTGGCAGGATCTCACTTCTGATAGACTGAATATACTAGTCTGCAACTTTCTCTACGATAGAGAGGCAGCGCATTACAGAATGTAAGTGCAGCACTTTAATAATAAACTCTCTTCTACTGCGTTTGCATGCGACTTAGAACGCAAAAAATTTCGAGCTTGATTTTGACTTAGACTCTCACATCGCAAATAAGCGGTTTGCACACCGATCACATTTCAAATTGAAGGTTCTATTGGTTAATATACTCGGATAATTTTGCAGACCCCAAATTTTAGTAATGTTGAGTAGTAGCCCCCAAGCACAATGTAGCGTGAATCCCGCCCTTCAATTCATGCGCCAATTTCTAGAAACCACTCCAGAAGTCTACTAATGTGCCTGCACAATGAACTGGGCGAGACTGACGGTCTTTTGAAGAGCCTTCTTACAATGGAAGGTCAGAAATTGAAGAGGCCTACTTGAGGAAAAAAGTGAAGTAGGAAGGAAAGGAGAGAAAGTTCCAAAAAGTGCGGCCTCCAAGAACCACTCCTATGAGAAAGAATTAGAAAATCAAAAATTAGAAAAATTTAAAAAAAAAAACAGGAATTAAAAAGAGATATAAACAAAAATGTATGTTTTTCCAGCTATACACCGATACCTCGTGAATGCCGAAGTTCAACTCCTTGATGTGAGATGCGGGTGAGGCGTATGCTATGCTCACTTGTCCTTCAACTCGGAGGCACAAGCAGTCCTTCCTTGAAACAGTGTTCCTCCAAGCTGGTGCAGTGTTCCTCGAAGCTGGTGATGCTTCAAAGATTGCATCCGCAATGTTCTACCTGAGAAAAAGGGTTGAAAGGAAAGCGGCGTAAGGAACAGAACGCGGAAAAAAAAACGAAATTGGAAGAAAGGCGGATACAAACTCTTAAAAGGAACATAAAAACGAAAAGAGCATAATTTCAAAAACGAAATTGGAAGAAAGGCGAATACAAACTCTTAAAAGGAACATAAAAACGAAAAGAGCATAATTTCAAAATTAGCGGGAGCTGCGCGGCAACGAACGGCAGATTGGCTGCGCACCATGCTCCGAAGGTGCTGCGCGCTTAGATTTCCCCGGCGAATTAGCAAATCTCTGACACCTCTGGAGCACATCCTCCGGAAGTCTTTCTCTCGGCTTTTTGTGACGTCATCGCGAGTGGCCAGCCCCTCGCCCCGCCCCTACAATGGTTAAGATCGACCATCGAAAGTGTTAAAGACTTCCACTGCTTACTGGAAGTATATTGCGGTTATGTGAGCTTCCACAACTGCTTAGCGCCTATGTGGACAAAGTTACGAGCCGTTACGTTATTGTACAAAAATCTTCCTGCAAGGCGCAAATCTGACAGTACAGAGCCATGTTCGGCTTAATGCTGGACCAAAACATGAAGCTAGGTCTAGACTTCCTTCTGTGTAGCCAACGCAAACTGGCCTCAGAACTAGCCGATAACATTTTTAGGATTCTGTTTCGAAGTTTCAGCAACTAATGTGCTTTCACAAGCATATCGGCTATGAATATCCGTACTTACCGCTTAATGTCAAAAAAGGTTTATGCAACATCTATGCAAAACGAAAAAACAGCAGCTGCCGAAATTTCCGGTTTCTTCGTATCATAGGGACTATTCCTCGAAAATTAAGAACGGAATATGAGCTTTCTGAAGATAACGAAAGGTTTGCGAAGGAATAATTACTCTTTCAAAAAGCATGTGATTAACTCACAAAAACCTCAGCATAAAGTCACAAGATAGAAACCGCTGCTAAGTTATCAATCAATGCTAATAATCCAGTAGATGAGTACATTACATACTGCGTTTTCACTTGTCACAAACCGTTTGTTTTTTCTTAAGAAAAAATTGATCTCGCTGCTATTCCTCTGGCTAGTTCTACTGCTCTTGGCACTCGAAAACAAACTATTTAGCTTGAGGGAACTCGAACATGCAACCGGAATTCGTCGAGAGCGCATTGTTTATGTTACTTTTCTTGTAATCTTTGCACTGCTTATTTATCAAAATGCACTAACAATCCTGCACTCCCTCATTGTGAGTTAGATACACTTCAGAGGTGTTTCAGGTGAAATATTGTAATCTGTCTTTTGCTACATTCAGGTACTGATCTTTCCCGCAGCTTGCACTTTGATGCTTTTGAGTACCGAAGATGTTGCAAATGCTCAGTTTTGGTTACGCTATTGGACAGTTTATGCATTGGTAACAGTATTCAGTAGAATTCTTCTTAAGAGGTTGATGCATCAAACACTTTTCGCTGTTACAAGTTATCAGTCATTTTTTTTTCAGAACAAATCATGAGAATGGCGATGTATCCTGGTTGGAACTGATCTTTTTCATGATTTGCTTGATACCAGGGACTTTCCTACTTGACTTCGTCTTCACTTTTATCATGCCATTTTTCAACGCTATGAAAGCCAAAATAGAAGAATACAACTTCCAGCTAGCTTGTTATCTAAATTAAGTAATTACTGAAAACTCGTTCATAGTGTTTGTCCGATTCATTAATAATAAATTTCTTAATTGATCAATTTTATCTGTAGTCAACCAGTTATAAATGAATGCACTTCACAGATTTGAAATAATGCATAAAATTGCGTCATCTAAGTATGGCTCCAGGACAGGGCCCGGCGGGGGTGGCGTTTTCACAAGCTGGATATCGTTTTTGGCCCGAAAAAGCAAAGGGGAAGTCGTATTTTGGGGTCCGGGGCGGAGCCCCGAACCCCAAAATACGACTTCCCCTTTGTTTACCGATAAACAATGCACATATCATTCTTTATTCATCATTCCTTGTTGATGCTACTGTCCTATGAACTTAGATTCCAGCAATGTGAAGATTCTCTGCTCCGATCGCTAGCCTGCCCCCAGGCGGGAATTCAAATCGCAATTCTTGTAAGAGGGAAATAACAAAATAGGCTCGTTTTCAATGCACAAGTAACGATATGGCACCAAATTTGCTGTATAGTTGGAGGACCATAAGCACAAAAAAAGTATGAAGAATTATGAGAAACTTATGTGAATTTTAAAAATGGTAAGTGTTTTTCGAAATTAGGTGGCTCCCGCGCCACCTGGGAGCCACCTGGGGTGGCTCCTTGCTTCCCTTCACATAATTTCCCAGATTTCTTTACATAAATGTGGACTAGGTCGAGAGTATTACTATATGTTCAAATTCGCTTCCAGAACCACCAAGGTACCGCTTCGATACAGCCCCAAATAGGGTTCACAGCGTTATGATCGGCCTCAGAAAGCGCGCTCCAATCGCAATCGGTGCACCTTGCACGGACGACGCGGAAACTTTGAGAATTTGACTTTTTGCTTAATTAGTGATCGCTGATTGAAGCAATCTTCGCAATTTTAAATAGATTGCTTCTTCAACGAGCCCTACAAGGGCTCAGAAGGGCCAGAGATCATATTTGGTCGTGATGTTCTATACAAAAAGTTGTTTTTGTGATTGTGTTTCTTCAGTTTTCGCATTGTGGTCGTTCTCCGCACTTTCGCTCTTTTGCGTCGTTTGTTTTCGTCGTTTTCCTTTATTTTGGTTGTTGCAGGCATGCTGTCATCAAAAGTTGAGGAAACGTTTTTGACAAGATCGAGTCGAGTAAAGTCGGTGGACCTTCATCCCACGGAAACGTGGCTATTGGCAGCTCTTTACAGTACAGTGGAAGCGTTCAGATACGGAATTACGAGAGTCAGCTGCTTCTGAAATCTTTCAAAGTAGGTTTATTTTTTTGAATTTTCATGTATTTTTGTATGTTAGGCCCCGGCCAGACTTCGCTCAAGATAGCTCATCCAAGAATGAGTTCCTATTCCGCAAATAGTTAAGCCTTGCCAGGTGTTCTTGTAAATATGCGTCGTGAAAAGGGGCCTTTGGTTTTTTTGAGCGGTTCTGGGCTGTTCAGTTGAAGTCTGGCTGGGGCCTTATGTTGCTTACTATGTTTCAATCCAGTATCTTGCGCATTCTTCAGATATGTGATTTGCCAGTGCGCGCTGCCAAGTTTATTTCACGCAGAAATTGGATTGTTCGGCTCAGATGACATGCATGTCAGAATTTTCGACTACAGCACGTCGACTTAGTTCACCAATTTGCGGCTCATTCGGACTATCTCAGGCAGGTGGAATGGTGCATTTATGCAAATATGTTACATGACATCGAATTTTTGCATTCGTTTTTGTACATTTGTAATTTTTTGCTTTTTCTTTGTGTGTTTTCCTTCATTGCCTCCAATATTTTTGTGGATCAGCGAGACCCATATTTTCAATGTGTTTCTGGTCTGGACGATCCCTTACTCGACAGAGCTTACGCGATTTGATCGTCGCGATTGAATCGCGACAAGACAGCTGTAACGAGTTCATTGCATGCCAACCAGCTTGCACTTCGGGACTGTCAGGGACTTACGGGGGCCAAAAATAGGGTCAAAAGGGAAGTCGTAAGAAATTTTGACTTCAAGGGGGATATCGTTTTCAAAATCCTGAAATGCCACCTCCTGCCGGGCCCTGCTCCAGGAGACTAACAGATTAAATGTGCTGGATACGCCGATCCGAAAGTTCCTCTGTTTTCGCGCCTTTCAAAACATTATTCGATGCAGCCCTTCCATTTTTGAGCAGCCTTAACTTTAAGCGAGTCGTTTTTGTGGGCACTATTAATAATCGCCAAAGTTTTAAACCCATAATTTCTAGCATGTCCAATTTCCTAATTTTTGTCTGGGCTTTTGGATGTGCTTTGAAAACAGGAAGAAAACACAGTGCTAGCAAGTCATTGTTGTTGGTTGCATGTATAGCTTGCTATTCAAAATTTTTAAGATATTTTTCAATGTCAAATTCATACCTAGTTGACTCATATCTCATAGAACATCAACAACATTTTGTATGTCATTCGATGCTTTTCCTATCCGGTTCGCAAAGGCTTTTAAATGGAAATTATAATTCACGTTCAAATCCGAGATTTTGATTCCGTAAACGCTCATTTGTTTCATAAAATTAGTATTTAATCCTAATCGAGTGTGGAATTTCAGCCTCCGTAAATTTATTGCTGTGGGGACGTTCGTATACATTAGACTACAAGTGAAGACTTATGAAAATAATTGTGAAAGTTACTGGAAAGTTAGTTGTTAGTTGTCCGAAGACATTTTTGTGTTGCACTTTTTTGCTTCATCTAATCTACTATTAAAGCTCTTCTGAAAGAGTGAAACGGAAAAAAATGGACATGGTAAAATTCATGGGTTCAAGACTTCAGGTGACCACAATAGCAACTAGCTCAAAAACATGACATTTGAAAAGAGGGAAGCTTTGTTGAGTAGTTAAAAATGTCTGCCTACCATTATTCTACGTGTTTTTTACCACCAGTGCTTCACCTCTGCTTCGCAGAGGCTCGCACTGGCCCTACTATCTGTATGCCTTACTCATTCTCGCACAATAATGACATTGGAACTCACCGCGCTATGCGGACTATCACGAATGATTTGTAAACAACTATTCATTCCAAGAGCTTTTCCATATGAGATCGGTAATTTCGCTTGAACGAAACTTTCCTCGAAAGAACAAATGCAAATTTGAATCGGGTTTTGGACTTTTCATGGCTTGAAATTCGCGATAGGATGCCACAATCACCGTGGGCTACATATCTGTGCAAAAATCTTCTCAAACGATCGGGTAAAATCTTGGCAAATTGAACATTTACGCAACCAATTCTTTTTGGCGCCGTTTTCGCAAAGTAATAAACTTTCGTTCAATTTTTTAAGCTAAAGACCATGGCTTGCACATTAACTTGTCAAACATATCCGTGAATTTGCAAAAAGTTGCGCTACAGACTCAATTTTACTGGCCAAAAGCCAAGTGGATCCGGTTGATGCGCATTTTTTGAGGGATCCACACAACGGATCCGCTCGTGCTTTTGTATAGTAGACTCTCATGTTGGTAGCAGGCGCTGTGCAAAAAAATCAGCTCAAAACCTTCGTTGGAAGTCGCTCCACGAATTTCGTGACAGACAGAGATTCACACAGACAGACAGACAAACGTAAACAACCCTTAGCCCGTTATTATAAGTTATGATATTTTCCGGAGTATAAGCCGCATTTCTTTTCACCGCGCGCGGGCTGAAATGCGATGTCGTTCGCGATGCGCGAAGCCGCACAAGCAGCAACTACTATCTATTTCGCCTGGTAATCCAATACCGGCTTTCTGCTTTCGTTCTTTATTTGGTTTTTTCGCAAGTGTATTTGTTTGTAACAAAATTCTCTACCTTCTCATTTATTATTCAAGAATCCGCTGAACAATAAAAGAACGTTCGAATACCACTAGTAACATGGAAGCGAAAGATGATAAGCTTCAGATCGATAAATCAAAATAAAAGAAAGCACAACTGCAACACCAGTAACATCATTGAAAAAAGGAAATCACAGTCAACCAGTAGTATCGTTTAGGAGAGAAAACACAACCTAAACACCCGCAAAGTCATATGAAACAAGAAAAAAAGGTAGACATGACTATCTGTACTAGAACGCACCGGGTTTTCAATTTGCTATATAGCTCTTTTTTAAAGCGCTTTCGCGCCATTGTTCGCTGCGGCGGGTGCGGCTTATACTCCGGAAAATAGGGTATATGCCCGGGAAGCGGCACGAACTTTCAGACCGGCCTAATATTTGTAAATAAAGTACTGTTATGGCAAGATTCCTATGAATAACTACTAACGCCTTCACTAGGCCGATTTGACGAGTTCTTTTAAAAGTCGTATCTTCTTACCATAACCCAGCCTTCAACGCGATCTTTGAAAATCGTGCTGTGAATGCTGCACAGGAACCACCTTTTAGAACGGGGGGGGGGGGGGGGGAGGGTGGAAATACTTTTGTCTGAAAATCCACTCATTTGATTGCACAAAGTTCTAAGTTTTGGATTGAGTGATCATTTGCATGTTTGACTTCTACTGTATGTATTAGACTGTTGTAAACGTAATGTCCGTTTTTCTAAGCTTACATTCCGAACAACTTTTTTCATTCAAAATTTCTTATTTGATATAGATTTCTGCATATCTTGGAAAACTTTCTTTATGTACTTTCTAACTGTGGTAAAATTAAGCTTCCATCTTATCTGTGAGAATTTCCCTAGTGCATGTTCAAATAAATTTTTCGAATGGACTAAGAAACCGACACCTCAAAATAGATACTCGTTGCATGGCACTTTATAAGTTGAAAATTTTTTCCTGATTGAAGCAATCGCAAAGATTCGCTCATTTCTGTATGCTTGAGGTCAGGACATCTTGCCTACAATTTTTACGGAAAACTTAGCTATTCAAGCATGAAGAAATTCAAATTACCATAATTTGGCGCTTACAAGCCTACAACAAAAGACTCAAAAAAGTGAACATTTTTGCGTTTTCCTTTCTTTTCGCAACATTCCTTCGTTGGAGTATATTATATATAAACGTATACTTTTGGCCTGCGGCTACAAAATAAGCTGATTGCCAGCTATAAGAACAAATTTGAAGGGAGTTGTAAGCTCTTAAATCGAGATTTTTGAAAGGAAAACTTTCAGCTACTTGACGCATGGTTTCTTTCCCTTGACTGCATTCAACAATATGAAGACTGGACAAAGTTGTAGCCTTCCAAATTGGAAATTTGCAAAACCGACATTATTTTTACAACAACCTAATGCATCAAACATTCAATGACTAACGAATATTCATACATTAGCAAATCTCGGTACCATCTAAATAGAGCCTCATTCATACACATGATTGTTTTACATTTATGGTAACTAAGAATAGTATCGATCAAATCAGTCCTAAGCGCTTCCTCTCAGCTGTGAACCTTCTTTACCGATTATAACGCTCACATCAACACTATATTTTTGTCTCTTTTAACATTTTTCGGCAAGAATAATTTTCGAAGATCGAGGCAAGGTCTATATGGCAACTAGACATCTACTCAAGGAGAAGGTCAAAATCTAGGAAATTTTACAAGCTCTACTTGGTCAGCAATTGAACACTTACATACGTTAATATTAACTTGCTGTTATCCTTCATTGGTAGTTCCAGTAAAAGAGAAATAAACTGAGCCTCTAAAAAATGTCACTTTATTTTAAGCTTTCTTGCTAAGTCGGGGTCTTTAACTTATTTAAGACGTGGAAAGAGTCCAAGATTGCATTTACAGTTTGCCTATCTTTCTTCTTTGAGTGTATCCAGAACAAAAACACAGAACGTGTATAATTGAGACACGATGAGTATGCGCTAAATTTTTTGCAAAAGATATCTTTAGGTTTCGCCTTTTTAAGCAGGTGTCAGATTATCCGCTTCAGTCGCTTCATCTGATTTACCCCATTAGCTATTGGTTGATTTTGTGGTTCGACCAATGCGAATTGATGAGCCGGATGAACCGGTTGAACCGGCTGGCGCCTACCTAACTTTACATAAACAGAATTCGAGTGGATGTTTAGAGGTAAACTTGTAGAGTTTGCTTTTTTTGTCGGATAGTCGATCAACCCTCCAAAAAAATAAAAAGTGGAACAACTATCATATCAAGGGGTTTTTTTCAACAATGAGGTTTGCAAAGCTGTTTGAGATTTTTATGATCAGAGTACTCAAACGTGTTTACACAACTGACTCCCGCTATTTGAAACCGTACGTCGAAATTCGCGCTGTCAATATAAGCTCATCAATTTGAAAAAATACTGTCACTCTAATACTACATCTTATCAATTACGAATAAGATAAGTACGGACTTAAACCTACTCGCACTTTTTATTTGACTTCAAAGTGATGCAAGTGTCTGCAAACTATGCTGCATTATCTTTGAAGTCTTCCATTTGACTTGACCAATAAATTGATCAGCTCAGAAAAAGCACATGTACTTAAAGAGCTAAGAGCTTGGTTTGCAAAGTTATAAGATATGCATTGCCAACACTTTCTTGCAACATTCTTATCTATGTGCAAGACCTACAGATTTTGATTTCAACTACCTTTTATTAGGTTGTCCGGAAAATAATGTCGCTTGGCATCCTATCGCGACAGAATGACCACAAAAACAGCGAACAAAAACAGGGCATCGTCTGATGGAGCAAAGCAAACTTTATAAGAGAGTTTACAAATCTCCGCGGAAATCTTGCTCTACCTGAAGTGCGAATCCAAGATATAAAAAAATTTCAGACACTTGAAAAATGTATCTCCTTTCATAGACGTCTTAGGGTCTCCAATCTGCACAGGCATGTTCTACACAATAGACATTGCAATAGTTTGTGGTATTTTTCCATGGCTACAGTGCGACAAACAAATATAGGTCAAAAGTGCGAACATGTCGATTTTTCGGGTTTTCTGCAAACAATTCAATTTTTCTCGAAAACGCTTCCCTATAACCGAAAATTTATGGTTATACTCCTAAAGGTCCATAATACAAAACCATTTATGTGAGAGAAGCTCAGGATTGCTTTAACAAAAATATGCCGAATTTCGTCTTCTCAATATGCAGCCATGGAAAAACCACGAAAATGTGCGTAAGAGTGTACGGTATAGTAAATCCATAGGTGAGTAAGTTAGGGGCTCCCAAGACTTCTCTAAACAGAGATACGATTTTTTTTCCTTTTTATAGGTTTTTAGTGTCTTATGAAATTTGGTTTCAAACTTCATGCAGATCAAACCTGGCGCGAAAGTTCGAGCTTCATTTTGTAGTGCTTGCTTTGATCTATCAGTGGTACCCCATTTACTAACATCCCTGCTCTCACCCTGCCGCGATATTGCATGATAAAGCACGATGCGACATTATTTCTAGGACAACCTAATATTTTCCTCCGAACGACAAGGCTGAGTCCTTAGCGATGTGCGTGAATTGTGCTCACGCAACTGCTCAGCCATGCCAAATTGCAAATCTATCGAAAAACTGATTACCCTAAAATCTCACAGATACCCAGTCTTAGCACCGAAGGGGTCTTAGCAGCAAGGCCTACCCGCAAGTCCTTAGTTTGCTGCCATGACCTCTTCGGACTTATCCAAGATGTTGGGGTAGCTAGAATGTAAACTTTCAAATTGATTGTATCCCAATAATTCAAACTCCAAAAATCCATTTACTGATCCTTGACGGAAACAGATACCGATCAATGCGTTCAAGATTGTAAGACTGAAACACCTTTCATGCTCCCCTGTGACAGGAAAAAATGTCGCCAAGCCAGTGCTTTCCAAGGAAAGGATGCAAAGCAAATTTTGGGCTGGATCATATCCCCTCACATACCGAAAATTATTCCTCTCCTCCCCTGCCCACCGTTATTTGTATATCAGAATGCTATTTCCAACACTGGATTCTCGTGGCTTCACACTCTACTGGTTACTCCGCAGAGCAGGTGTTGTTTACAGTTAGATACTCTCGTCTTGAAGTTGACAGTAGGTCAAGCTGGTCCTAAACTTTAATCCACGGAAAAAGTAGCTGCTCACTACTTTCTCAACACTACGATCGTATACTTCGCAAGCGTCTTTTGAGAGTATTTACAATTTCAAGATCTTCAAACTAACATGCTCAATGTCCATTACTGGTAACTAATAAAGCACTGGTCGAAGGAGTTTTTGAGGCACTTTTCCCAATTTTACGACACAGAATCTTCACTCGAAACTCCATTATGCCGTATAAGTTTCATTCAATGCTGCTACATTACATGAATAAGTCCTGGAGGACAGCACATACCGTCAACCAGCTCAGAAAGAAACTTCTCTGTTGCATCTGTTGCAGAAAACCAAGCACAAAATCAAGAAAAAAAAACCGTACAACGGTGAATTCTGCCCGTTCAAATAATTACAGATACCCAAAGCGGCCACATCGTCAGGGTGGGGAAGACATCTTGTGCTTGTCATCTTACGCTTACCACAACCTCAATGATAGTAGAAGGTAAAACGACGTAGATAAACCTAGATTTTCACGTTTGTTCTCAATCTGCAATCTTCAATTTTGCGTGTTACGCTGCATCATCCATTTAAAAGGGGCATAGCTGCCTTTAGCTACTGATAGGCAGAAGCGCAAAGCAAGCATTACGACAGAGATCTGTGCACTAACGTATAACTTTCTCCGTATCGATCTACGTGGAAAAAACTGCCTCCAATCAATCATCTGATATAATCGTTCCCATACGATGTTCTCTACTGCAGAATCAAGTCAGAAGTGGAACACTACACCATGTGGAACAAAGCAAATCTTCGGAAGATCTTTATCACTACCACAAGTACACTCTCAACAAATAAAAATACAAAAAGTACCTAAAACTATCTCTGTTGAGCCTTCGTATGTCTCGAAGACGCTTAGCAAATATGTTTACTGCTAAGCAAAAAATTATATCACAAATGTGGGTCGTATAAACCACAATAATACAATTCCTAACAATAACAACACGGTGACTTGCATGCTTCAAGAAGAAAAAACGCCTCTGCAAAGTGATGATCCAAGCTCCACTCCAACCATGAGCAAAGAACATAATAAGATGGTCGAGATTCCAGCAAATGAGTCTTTTCCTCAGCGCCCAACGAAAAAGCGAAATACGAACTAGGATTCACAGAATGAAATCTAATGCTTCAAAAGAGACCCGGTATGACCAGTAATTCGCGATGGGCACTGATAATGTGTAGCACATTTCCTTGCGGAAACTCAAATGCGCACGAACAACAAACCTCAGATACAGTAATCACTAGACACTAATCGCTAAAATGACACTAATGTACGTACACCTGTCACGCAATGAGAAGAAGTACAAGAGTGATATCATCGGGCTTTCCACCAACTGCTGATAAGCCATGCTCTCGAGCTTTCACTGCAAATGGACTGTTGTGCGTTGCATCGAACGAGAGACGCCTGGCAGTAAGAGCGAGGGCGTTGCACACCTAAAAACATTACGCTCAATTAGCCAAATTTCATGAACAAAAGTTTATTTTGTGAAAAAAAAATAGTCATATGTTACCTATGCACAAAAGAACAACTTTTACAGTAAGTTACCAAAATAAATGTAGTCAGAGGGAGTTGAAGTCAGATGAGTTGAACTATCTTATAAAATTATCAAAGCGAAAGCGCAGCGAAAAAATGTGTATATTGTGGCTGCCACGAATAATGGGTAATTGAGATATGTCAAAGGAGTCCGCATTATGTCCCTGTGTCTATCAAACTACTTGAGAAGATTGCATGTTTTGGTGCTTCCTGTGCTCGAGCAAAAGGTGTGCGCTGAGTCCAGTGCTGTAACTGAAAAGTCAAAAAAGTTGCTTTTTGAGGCATTTTCCTATCCAGGATATAGCTGGAGGGGATAGGCGAGGGATTCCCGCCTACATCGCAATTGGCTGCCTGAGCCAATCAGCCAATTACAGCCAAGAGGAGTGGAGTTACAGCCTCCCGCAGCCAGTCGCTGCTTACAGAATTCCTCGCCCATCCCCTCCAGCTATCTCCGGGTAGAAAAAGGCTGTAAGCAGCACTTTTTAAATTTTTCAAGCACAACACTGGGCTCAGCGCATCCAGAAGGCCATGTAGGTGTGAAAAGCTCGCAATCGCAATGCAATTTTCCCGAGCCACTGCCTCAAAGAAACATGTCCTTCAAAACAACCTCTAAGGATTTCAAGTCTCGGTAAGATATTCAATCAAAGTGGCCGAGATAAGCTTAGCATCACGCCAATTTCTAATCGTTTTGAGAAAAAAAGGGAAAAAATAAATGACCTCCTGCACAGTTGCTTTCTCCTCGATCAATGGCCGCAGCTGATCCAGAACATGTTGTTCAGTGAGGTTATCCCAAAGACCATCAGTGGCCAAAAGTACGATGTCACCCTTTTGTACTCGTATCTCTGATTTATCAGCCAGATCAGGTGTGTCTCCAATAAAACCGCGATAACCTGAACAGTCATTCATGTAAGCAAAAAGTGCATTATTTCATCGAAATGATGATGGTACTTTCAAGCACTCACCTTCAGGAGGAAGAGTGAGTTGGAAAGGTGCATTGAAATAATGGACTTGTTCTTCGCTCTTGGTGAGTACGCGTCCATCTCTCACTACCATGAAGCCAGAATCTCCAAGATTCGCAGAGTATAACATCTCCTGATGAACGACCAAGACGCATGCAGTTGAAGAACCTGTACATATTATATCGTTCATGCAGATTTGGATTCGTGTGACTTACCAACTGGCCGCGGAGATTCTGCGGTAGCTTTGAAAGCTTTCTCCAGCAGTGTTTCAGGCCTCTTTGGATCGAAGTCGCCACTGCTAACACGCTTCTCGCATTCTTTCATCAGTTTGCGACTAAACTGTGAAGGATCGATCCCATATTTACGCCAACCTCCAACACCATCCGCAACACCTATAGAAGCAAATTTATTAGTTCCGAAAAAGTTAATCGAATGAATTCAGACTGTGGAGCAACACTAACCTACAACAAATGTATTCTTGAACCGTGAGATGAAACATGCATCATCACCATAAACGCCGGAGTCCAATACTGTAGAAGGTCCCTTTTGCATATCCTGAGAAAATGGGAAGAGTAAATTGAGTTTTTCGATGTATTCTTTCCGATTTATATGACACATCAAGACGTTTCAATACTGATTGAATAATTCTCAAATATCGTATTGCCACTCTTATGATTACAAGAAGGATGCCGGTATAAAAATAGCAAATATTTGGCAAAATAGTTTGGCTGCAAGCAAAATAGTTTGGCTCACTTTTTACGAAGAAGACTTTCTAGTACCTTTACAAAACATTCCTTATATCTTTCTGAGATGATTAAAAATCAAAAAATTTGATACAGATCATAATGCTAGATTTATACGTACGGCCCGAAGAGAGAAAATTGGCAAAAAGTCTAACCATGAAAACTTCAGACTACTCTACCAATAATTAAAAAAATAATTTATAAGTTCCATAATGTATGATGCAGCAGTGTGAGCAAACGTGATACTGCATCTAATCTAAAACCCAAAAATTCCTCACCTTTGGAAAACCGGCACAGCTTGCCACTACAGGTGGGGGAGGTGGTGGAGCTGGAACGGGATTCTCACCCCGTGCAGGTGCAGTGCTCAAATTTCGTTTGGGAATAGGTGGATCCGTGCATGTTGTTGCAACAGCAGATCCTGAAACCAATTTACAGCATTGCTAGAAAGTAAACTTCTCAAGCCCGTATGCCCAGGAAGTTCTTCAATCGAATTCCAACAACGCCCACTTACTGGCTGCTGTCGTAGGTCAAACGGTTACTTTTAATGCTAGAATCAAAAACAACATTCCACAATTTGAGAAAGACCCATACACCATATACCAAATCGCATGAGGAAAATTGAGAATCATCCGATAATTGCAGAAATCCTATTCAAACACGGTTAGCGAAGTAATCTTCCTTAAAAGGGTTCGTTCCCCTACCCCCTTGAATGCTCTCAGCTTATTGTTATGAGTGACTGTAGGCAAAATTGTTGTCCATTGATGCACACTGCCCCAGCTGACATAGATTTCAAAGAGAAACTGCATTTGGTGCAAGGAATCCATCTTAAAAAGGTTGTCAAGTATAATACAACTTTTGAAAATTTGGACTGCTATTGCAGAGCTAGAGGCAAAAAATCCTGGAATGCTGCACTTTTTCTAACTTATCACCGGTCAACAACGAACGTTTGTCAGATCACACATGCATTCATGCGACATTTTCTCACTCTGGTCATGCGGTTGCCTAATAATCCGAAAGTTTGCATAACAAGTCACGCAGCCATATGTTTAGCAATTATACCGAATTAGGTAATGACTCGCTCAGTCACATAATGTAACATTGGAAGCAAAGGAACAAGACCTTTTTCGAAAATCTTTTGAATCTTATTATAAACTTGTCAAGCGCTGATACATCGCAAAAAATCGGTAATCCGTTCGACATAACCACTATAAAACGCTGCACTTCATAGTCAGCTGCAAAGTAGTCGCTGTGCCGCCCAATATGAACCTCGTTAAAGATACACAGTGATCTCATCAAGACGAATGGATTGGAAACGATAAGGGAAGCGAAAAAAAACTCACCAATATCTAAGGCAGAAGCTGAGAAAACGGCCCTTACGGCCAAGCGACCGCAGGTCAGCAATCGCACGCCCCCGACCATCTACGCATATGCTGAAAACACATATATTGACAATGTCCACGCTTTTCCCTCGATGCCACGACAAAGTAGAAAGAGAGAACACACAATAATGACCTCTCATTCAAGCTCAAAAACAGCTTCTCCAGATGTTCTACTGTATCATTTCTTTTATCTCATAGAAGTGCTCCTGACTGTGCTTCGAATAAAAATGTTGTAAATCACTTCCTGAACGCAACAGAAGAAAGCTGGTTGCCTATCATACTACATGCATTCATTGTTCCATCAAAGCGATGTAAAGATTTTTTGTACAAGCATGATTTACGGTTTTGCAGCGAATTGAAGAGGTCCAATAATGAACCAGAGGCCTTCGTCGAGAATGGGTTATAACATTCCCATGATGTACATTGGTTATGAAACTGCGCAAATAGCCGGCGTTCAAATCGAGGCAGGAAAGGACATCAGTATTACCTTGAGAGTTTTGAAAAGCAGAGGAGGTCTACAGATGCTCCATGTGATAACGTACTACAAAAAATATCTAATCCTTTTACGTTTACGACTTGTTTACTGCATCGGAGCCACTCTAATCGTTATGATTGCGTTACGACTGAGATTAATCATATTTCTGACAGCCACAAAAGCAAAGCAACCGTGGGCAACAATTCTCCCATGAATGAATCGCCATCGATTCATTCATGGGAAGAAGATGAAAGATCGGACAAGTAAAGACGACAACATAAACCATCGCTCAGACTCTCGGATGCACTAATGGCATCCTGTTTGAGAAAAATGATGTGGTGATCAAAAAAGACAACAAACACATATATGTAAGTAAAAATAACACATTTGAGAATCTGCAACACTAGAACTTCCTCAAAATCTCCTCACGCTTCATTAACGCGAAATGCCAATCATATGGTACTCAGATATATTCATTAAAATTGATTCTCTACAAGGGTCAAATATAAAACAGAACAGTGCGTAGAATGGGCATAATTTCTCATCCCCAGAAATTAAGCGGTACCGTGCAGCAAAAATGAAGTCTTAGGCTTCACATATACCTGACGATAGAGGTATAGCGGGTGTTGGCGAGTCGCTGATGTCTGCGCTGCCTTTAGCTGCTCGTGGCTGCTGCGCTGGGTACGCTTTGGGTGCATGAACGAAGTAGCCTTACCCATTACTACCCTTAGCTTAGGCTATTGTGAAAGTAAGTCTTGAGAACTACCAAAATTGAAAAATATCACATGAGATCCAAAAAATTCATCCTGTTCTCATCAACAATTTTTTAAAAGGCATAAAATGGCAGACCAAATGTTGCATCTACTAAGTAAATAATCGACAAATATCTAAACGAGTGTCGCAGAAGAACTTGATGTGTGCTTGAGGACCGAACAATCTAGATCATAGCCGCCGTTAATATATCGCGGTGTACTGGTGACATCCCACTAAATCGTTAAAATCTTCTAGCTTTTCATCGTTACTCCAATTTGATTTCACTTTTGCTTCGCAAACGTTCTGTGCAGTTGCTCAGATCCAATTCTTTGTGGACTTTGTCAATTCTTTAACGAATTTCTTATGGACGCATAGCGTTTTGGTCTTGCAAATTTGTCATGATTCAGTATCGCAACAAGTGCTCTAGAAATCCTTCAGAAGTTCAAAATTATGTTAAAATGGACAAATCCGAGCAAAAACAGCGTTATCAGCATGAAGCAGCTGAGAGAAGCTCACCAAAAGTGAGCTTCATATCGCGAGCAGCGAGGAGCAGCTACGAGCAGTTACGAGCAGCAAGCAGCAGCGCAGAGCAGTGCAGCATCGCTAGCTATACCGGGTCTGATTCGCATTGGCTGCAGCAGCTAGCAGCAGCAGCGTCGCCTGGCGTCAATCGATACCCACAAAAGGCGTTGCTGCTGGCAGCGTCTTATCGTCAGCTATAGCGACCCATCGTCAGGTATATCTCAAGCCTTAGGCTGCGTTCATACTGATCCGGAAGTTTGGGAACAGTTCCAGCACAGTGCTCAGTTTGAGCGCTGTGCTGGAACTGTTCCCGAACTTCGGGATCAGTATGAACACAGCCTTAAACCTACGCACTTTTCTGTAGAGCACTAATTGACAGAATCATTCTCGCGAGGCAGTATGGCACCCGACATAGTTGATCCAGCCGGTCCACTTTATTTTCTTCATCCACTGTTTGAAGTGGGTCCGTTTGATCCGTTTGATCCGCTTTGCTGGTCAGTTCACTGATTTACCAATTGCGAAGTGGATGAAGGATCAAGCGGATCAAACGGATCAATATGGTGTGTGCCTAACGAAACGAAAAATAGTGTTCAAACGGATTACAGGCGCCGGAGTGCCCCTTGAAAGCCAGTGGCGTATCCAGGATTTCGGCTCGGGGGGGGGGGGCAGAAATTTTTTTCGGATGAAGGTTGCGTGACGTCAGCCACGCACTTCGAAGAAATTTTTGGGATGTTTCCCAAAATTATTGCGGGCCCCTGACTCCGAAGTTTCAAAGAAAGGGGGCGTGGCGACAGCCACGTCCTCAAAAAAATTTTTTTACAAGGCTAATTTGTATTTTTAAGAATTATTTTAATTATTTATAAGTAAAAATAAGTCGTTCGCACAATTTTATAACCCATATAAGCAACTTTCAAAAATTTCGCGACTCATTCTGGAGGGAGGGGGGGGGGGGGGGGGGAGCGCGCCTCTCGGTACGCCGCTGTTGAAAGCATAGCACCACGCATAACCTAATCGAAAACGGGCGGATGTTGTTCCACATGCAAGGGTGCGGGAATGAAAAAGCTCTCCTAGATGCACTTTCAACGAAAACAAGGCTAGACAGTAATGTACATGGCCAAAAGCACTGTGATGAAAGCAGGATATGGGATAAACTTGAGCGAAGTGAGCGCAGCACTTTAGTAATCGAATCTGATTATGAACCACAACTGACTTTTATTTTCCCCGTAAATAGCTGCACTACTTTTACCATGAAAGAAATAGTCTCTTGTTACAACAACCGAACGGGCATATGTTGCTCGCACTCACAATGATCTCTAAGATGATTTTTAGAACAGATTACACTAATAAGACGTGTTTTGTTGCTAATGATATGCGCGAACTATATGCTCTCCATGCAGACTACTTGCATCTGCTAGGAAACGCAGACTATAGTCCACCAGTTTCGCATGTTCCCTCACAAAGGAGATGAATGTGAAATCGACAATTCCTTCCAAAAAAACAACAACACTAGCTCTTGATAGCCCACTTACGACCAGGCAGTCGTTAATAACCCATTATGCTAGTGTCACTGAAATCTCGACCGCTTAAAAAGCTCAGATTCACTACATCATTTCTAGTCTGTTCCAAAATCAATCAATGTCCAATCCCGACGCTTGCAACACTATCAGATTATGAGTCAAAAAATGGAGTGACTTTTACATGGCTCGATTTAGCATGGGAAACCTGGCTACCAACGTATCAGTCCTGTAACGCATAGAGTTTTCAATTAATCTACACAACTTCAAAGCTCTCTGCTGCGGTTACAGTACAACAATGCACAATTATGTTGTAACTCCTCCGTAAACGTATCCTCACAAACGTTGTAAGCAATATTCCCGACAAAGCTAGACTTCCTTTGATTCCAAATATTTGTATACAGTAGAGAGTTTAGGAACTGCGGTTTTTTAACGCGATACCCGCCGCCGGCCAAAAATCTAGTCAATCCCTGTGATTGTTGAAAAGCTCTTTTTGACACTTTCCACGCACGAACATGATCTTTTAAAGCTAAAAAGGTGCAAAACTCTACGAACTAATCAAGCCAAAAAATTGAGCTCGCCACTTAACAATCGAAGGTTTACCTCTTTCGCATATTTGTTTACCTTTATCCTTCCTAATCAGGATGTATGCATACGGTGCGGTGCAGTATCAACTCGATGCAAATTGGGCGATAAGGAGGCATTTGTATGGAGCGCATATGCTATTTGTAGCCAATGGCAAATAAAGACGTGGTCAAAGGAAGCACTGTGTTTTGTTACAATTTTTCGACACGCTTTACCGTGCCAGAGAAGTTTCTAAAGAAAAATAAAACAGTTTCTTATGTCAAGTCTTGCTTCTCAAAATCAGAAGAGATGGATATTAGAGGGAGAATGAAGTGCTGGAAAAAAGATGGGACACGGTGTAAAAGAGAGAACCCATTCTTTGCGTAAGGTTAACTGCTCTACTTAGACTTAGCAATGAAAGATCGAATCAAACCGTCTAACCAATGCATACCTAAGCAAAAAAACACCAAATGTGGAACAGAACTTCATCAGATCTTCAACCTTTATAGCCCAATCGTAATAATGCTGCTTTGATCCTGTTCTCGCGTAGTTCAGAGAAACCTAACGCATAAAAAGAACAATCGCAAGCTACGATAATACGCTCAATGTAATGCGATTAACATCTCCTGAACTAACTGACGACAAAAAACGATGAATCAGGGACTAAACCACTACAAACTTCGTGTAAGCGGGAAAATGGGAAAGATTCAGCCGAGAAAAAGGAAATCGGAGGCGCCGACGGCGGCAGCTTGTGGCGGCCGTGTGGCAGGCGTCCAGGCAAAGCGGCGATCGATACAGCCGAGTGTCGCGTGCGATCGATTCGCGTCCGCCTCGGAAACAACACCTGTCGTCGGCTTCCCGAGTTTCTTCCCGTGCCTACACACTTCTGTTTACCTGGCCCTGATTCCAAACATTCCGAAATCACTGCACTACTTCCTGTTGGAAAACTGAAGTTCACAGTTTCTCTCTGAGCTGTGCAAGAAGCGAAAGATTGCCTTGCGAAGGTGTCGTAAATTAAGATTTACGATCGCTTCATGGCACAAAGGGCTTTGAACGATGTAATACCCCTATCATTGTGTGAATCACGGAGAAATTCACAAATTCATCGTTTGTGAGGTCAAATACTGGGTAATATCAAGTCGGATTTGAATTAAAGTTGAAGTCGGCTTACTAATCATATTTATCCGTCTAAGGGTAGGAACGAAAACGGATATTTCCTTTTTTATGTTT